AGGAGATTTTTGCTCCCCTGCTGCAGAAAAGATAGAAAGTAACACAAGTACGTAAACTTAATAAGAAAAACAGCCATAATTTGTAGCTTGAAAAGTTCAGTGAACATTAGGAACAGCTCCTTCACCAGAAAAGTGTAGAATAAGAGAGGCAATCCATAAAAACAGTCAACTCTGAGCTGCATCTAGACTAAACCACAGATGAGCCAGGCTAACACAGAAAGCAATCCTAATCCCAGTGGGAGGCTGGATATGATGAAATGTCAATTTACAGTCAACTTTCCTACGATTTTTTACTTGCTACATGAACACAACCCAAGCCAAGATCTAAGTGCAATTGGAAATTTTTATAACTGTTCTTATATCACAATAAAGCCTTAGGCATGTCATTTAAAGATCCAACAAGACCCTAGGCAGATACTTTCACCAACAGCTGCTCTTCTTCCAGAAGATGATTATAGTTTTGTCACCAATCAGAAAATATTTTAGGTAGAATCTCAATTCTTCACCTATCACACACCTTTACTAATTTATAAAGGTATTTCAAACATCCAGATTAGAAGGAAGGTCTAGCACATTTCAATTTCTTCCAGAACAGCTAGCACCAGCTAGTAGTTGGTTATAAATACACAATGAATCTCAATAGACAAGGAGCGGTCAGTAGAAGAAAACTGCTTTACTCTTTCTCTATTAGAACCTTCATAGTTTAACTTCAAGAGGAAAAAAAATCTGCTTCAAAAGCCTTTCATGCTTATGAATGCAATTTTTTTTCCCTGACATTTAATTTCAATTTTCTAACAAGCTTTTGTAGGTGGAAGAAATACCTTTTCAAGGATAAGTGACACATACGAACTGACAAAACTTTCTTGAAGGATTATGCAGCTGCAATCTTTCCACCCACCCCACCACTGATAGAGAACATTCCACATTCTTAAAGATGTGGATCTGCATATGCCAGGTATGCTATGTAAACACACTTATCAAATTCTCTTGTAGTCACTGTGCAATTTGCTCTGCTGACTAGGCATAGTTTTAATTAGCTAGTGAGAGTCCTAAGAAATGGAGTGGGTGGTTCTCTTTCAGTTTGCTTGTTTGATTTTTGTTTTCAAACCATGGCCAACTAGAGCCATGGTGTAAAAAGAATCTTAAAAAAGGAGCTATGTGTACTATCCAGGGATTACTCTGGACTCCAAAACCTCCATTCAACTTTCTACATACTACATAATTCTTATTTCAATAGAAGAGAAAAAATACTAAGACAGTAAACTTCCACAGGTCTTCACAGGTTTTCCAGCTTGCAGGGCTCATTCAGCTTGATTTCTTTCAGATATCATAAAATGGCCTGGGACCATGAAAAGGATTACAATGACCAACTAGTTTCAACCCTCCTGCTACATACAGGATCACCAGCCACTAGACCAGGCTGCCCAGAGCCACATCCAGCCCAGCCTTGAATGCCTCAAGGGATGGAGTATCCACAACCTCCTTGAGCAATACAGCTTTCTAGGAATTGTAACAATCTTGCTAAAGCGCATGCTTAAGTACAACATTAGAAATTTTTAAGTAATGACATATCCACCACATTTGCTAATCAACTATTTGAAAGTATCTTCTCACTCAAACAGTGCATTTTTTTTTTAATTAACTTGCTTATTTCATTCTTTTCATGGAAGACTGAAAAAAATCCCATACTAGGACTTACTTTTTTTCAAACTGAGTTATCTGTATATCTCAAGTCAAATTCCAGACTTCCCTTCAGAAAAGGTGAAATACATCAAAGCATTTGAGCCTATTTCCAGCTAAAGACCAGCCTGTTTATAGAAGACTATTTCTGTATATCTACCTGTTATTCTCAAAGATCCAGTGTTTCTTCCTACTTTTTGCACATCACTTGAATAAAGACTGACAGTGAGATGGTTATTGACTTTAAATTCTTTGTTACTTCATTCCTTTCCATGAGTTTTTTGGAAAGTTTGCTTAGGTATGGCCAGTATGTTCCATCCCTCCACATACTGTTCTGTATTTGGCTTTATAAAGTTTTCAGCTGTGATATTCAGTTGATTCAAATTATCCTGTAATAATGCAATAGTATCCTAGCTTCTTTGTTATTAAGTAGACTAATCATATTGCTTGCTATTAAATAATTTTTATCTCAGAATGCTGTTAAAATGTTGAATATAGAAGTAAAAAAATTCCTCAGATCTTTTCTTTCCCAAGAACCTTTTTAGACCTGCCAAGATAACAGATTTTAAGCCATCCAGTACATAACCTCTTAGTTCCAAGTTTTCTGTTTTTTTTTCCCCAGTCAAGATGTTAGTGTGCTAAGACAAATGGCTTTGAAAAATTCAAGTACACTATAATTATTCTGCTGTCTTTATTAGCCAGAGATGTTATCTTGTCAAGAGATGACAGTTTTGTTTGACAGGACACATTTCCATAAAACCATCTTGACTGACAATAATATGCTCTTTGTCTCTAACCTTTCCTTGATGACATCCAAACTGTTCTGCTGCCAAGACTCGTGACAGTAGCTGTTCTCTTGTGTTTGGGATAGTCTCTTACCATACTTTTAAACAGCGGGATTATGACAGCTATCCTGCACTGTTATAGAGCTTTCCCATTCTGCAAAGCCCCTTAATATTGAGTTAGAGGCTCAAAGAACCTGCATGTTATTTAATAAATTTATTCCACCCATAATACCACAGGAGGGTTAAAAACCACAGCAGAAACAGCTGCTAAACACATCTCTCTCTTCTGTGTCACTATTTATAATTTCAGTACGAGTTCAGCAATAGATAAAATCATGTCAGGGCGAGGAGGTATTGTTCCTAACCCCAAAATGCCACCTTACTATTAATTCTACTAGCTTTTGCCATTCACCTTCTCTCTTGTATCTTGCTTTAATGCAGGGACAAAGTCTAAATCAAATTAGACACAGAAATTTACTCATGAGCTTTATCCTGAAAACACAAAAAAGATACAGTAAATTGTCTAAGCAACTACGTGCATGGAAGAAATTGAGCTTCCTTGAAAAAGAATCAAATGAAACTGCAAACAAGCTTAGGGAACAGTTTCTTCAATATTTTTCACTTGACTCACCCTTCAAATGTTGAAGTTTCTTTTTATACATATAAGATACAGGCAAATACATATAAGACCTGTAAGTCGATCATTTGTTTTGAAATGTAAAAATAGAACTGATGCCTATGAGAAAAAGCTAAAGACATACTTAAGAGAAGCAAAAAATAGTTCATCTTAAATAACAACCTCCCTGATGCACTCCCCATTATCTAGTTTTAAAACACACAAGACATACAGGGAGTTAAAATACCCTTTCCAACACTAAATGAAATGAAAGGCATACTCTCAGCTGTAGCTCATTGAAAAGGACATTAACATTAGTCAGAGATGGACAGACACAGAGCTGTCATGATTCTGGCTTGATTAGATTCTTGCCTAAGGGTTGGTGACTTTCTACTGCCTAAAGCAAGAGTAGCTTTCTCCATGTTCCCTTGAGGAGTGGGAGGAGATGGTGGAGAGGCATCCACACCTCTCCCAGTATGCTCAGTGCTGCTCGTGCTTAGCTGTGCATATGCCAGGGACATGAAGCATATGGCCCGGGGGCTGACAGTGTCCCGCTTAGCAGATGTCTTCAATACATTCTGTCATAAAACGTCTTCTGGAGGCTAGTTAGCTGTGTTTTATTACACAATTCTTTGTATCTGGTTGATAAAGAGTGCTTGATAAAATTATTTACTTTAACTGAAATACCACCAAGCAACTCAAAGGATCTTGTGCACTTTTTAACATCCTGGAAGTGGAAAATAAGAGACTTTACTACTCTACGGATTTAAATCTGCATCTAGCAAATAGACTGCATGAAGGCAGATTACTAGCTGCCACATGATGTGACAACTCTTCCAAAAGCAGCTACGCTGCTTTGGTTTTCTAAGGAACTAAGGAATTAGAAAGGAAATACAGTCAGACTTAGACAAAAACTGTACCCTGTATAACATTACTCCAAGCACCTTAAGATGAACACATCAGGATGAATGCAGTCATGCAAGCATTGCTTGTCAGCATACACATCCTCATGGTGTATCTTGTGAGCTATCCAAAAATTCACTGCAAAATAAGCTTGCATCTTTGTCCAGGAAGGGCTTCTTGAATTACACCAGCAACAACAACATCTTTACAACCAAAGTAAACCGGGATTTTTTTCTCCCCGTTCCTCTGGAACAATTGGTGCCAGGTTCAGAATCACTTCCTTGTGTCTGAATTATAGAAGAACCTATGTTTAAAAAATTTGATTTTTCAGCAATTTTGATCAGATTAAGAGCAAGTATATAATTCTTCAGACACTTCACAGTAACCTTAATTTTTTTTTTTTACTGCCTTCTGCGAAATTAATCACTTGATTTCTCATACCTTCTCTACTGTGTTACCATTTAAATATAACTTAAATGAGTGTAATAAGCACATATGAAGAGATCCAAATTAACAGAACTATTTTTTCTTCAGTTGCTGCTTAGTCTTTAGCAAGAATTTTATTGGGCCTGATTCAGAAAGGTATACAATAGCATATTCTTCCTTAAGTTCATACCAATGAACCACTAAAATAATCATGCTGCATGTTTTCCATTCAAGTCAATAGATAATATTACTACAAATAATGGGCACACTGATCTATTTCAACAAAATATGAGCCACACCTTTCCAAGTATCTCAAATACTTGCTGACAACTACACAGAGAACAGATAGTTACACACTGCAGATTTTACATATTTGCAATCCTCTGTTCAAACTCAGAAGTATAGATGGCAAATGCCTAGAGATACGTAAATCCTTACTGTCCTCCAGCCCTTGAGCACTTTATGGTCTACAAGAACAATCTTTGAACAGCCCTTGTCTTCTGATCATTCAACTCTTCATATTCACACATATAACCATGGTGTGACAGTGCAGTGATTGCTTCAGGAGAATACAGCAATATGACACTTACTTTAAGAAACTTAGAATGATGTTAAACATTCCTGTCGTGGTTTTATGAAGTAGACCATGAAATTTTTCCTATAAAAAAAAAAAAAAAAACACATGAAGAAAATAAGCTTCTATAATAACTGGGATTACTAAAGAAGAGAATAAAGTGGGTTGTTTTTGTTTTTTCATTTTTTTTCTGGATATAACTCTGAAAAAGAAGACTGCAACTGATACATTTTTATTTATGCTAAAAAAAAAAAAAAAAAAGAAAAAAAGCATGATAGCTGGTGCTTTACTCAAACTGAGAGAAGGGAAAAGAATCTAATAATGTAATGCCCATCCTTACATTTTCCAAGAAGGGAAAGATGCATGCTAGTGCTAAACTTGATAACACAAGAATGGAGGTGAGGCAACAGAATAGGATCAGACCACTTCATTTGACAAGGCACTGAACGCTGACATACGAGATCACTTACTAGAGGAGATAGGAGAACAATTCACAATAAATAATTCAGTTCCCAGATGTAGCTCTTCCAATAATCAAGATCATGACAGCTTTACAGACATTTGTTATTTGCAATTATCCAGGCAAGCATTTCTAATCCACACCAACTCAAGTGCTGGCTTAAGCACTCAAAATTCACTTTGATAACCCTAACTAATGGCCACACAAGTCAGCTGTTAGTGCTGCTACTGCTTGGCTGCAGAAGCTACAAACTTCTTCAAGTACTGTCTTAGGATATATGGGTCTGAGATTATTTCCATCCAAACCTTTGCACAAAAAGAACTGTTCTTTCTGTACACTTCACAAGTGATATGGACTTGTCACTTCAAGATTTTACAGTAAGATTTTACAGATTTTTAGTCACCTTTTTTTGGGGGGGTGGGGAGGAGGAGAGTGTGGAGAGAAGGGAGTTGTGTGGGGTTTTCTCGTTTCTTTGCATGTTTGCTACCTATTTATCCAGCTCTCCTTTAAAACATAGGAGAAAAGTAGGCAGCAGTAGAAGATTTTAGGGGACAGATAAAATGTATAGAATAGTCCTTTTTGTCCTATCTGCTTTGTTTCTTTCCTCTAGCTTTGAAATTCAATTACTCTTTTGCTGAAATAGCATCTAAAAAGCTTAACCCAGGCATGATGCAGGTAATTAGATGCATATTCAGTATAGCTCGCATGAATACACCATTCTACTCATATAAAGCTGCAGCTTAGAAGAATTTCTGCTATGCTTCCAAAAAGAAGTGTTACTGAGGTCATGTTTCAGAATTTTACAAAAATGACTTAAATTGAGAAATACTGAAACTGGTATTTGTTTGGGGTTTTTTTGGCTTTTTTTTTTTTTTTTTAAACTTTCTCTATGGTCAGGCCTCACCAATCCTCACTTATCACAATGAGTAATGAAAGAACTTGGCACTTTTTTCTAGAACCTCAGAAAGTCATGCCAAATCAACACAACTGCCTTTTCCAGAAGCAGATCACAACATTTATGAAAGCAATCTGTTTGTTGCTAAAGACAACTTGTTTGTTGTCAGTGGCACACTTACTAAGTAGGGAAAGAAGAATCATGCAAAGCTATTGAAAACAGAGAAACTGAAAATAAGTTTCCTAAGATCACATTTCAAATGTGGCACTTTTTTGCTATGGCAGTTACTCGTTTTCAAAGTTCTGAACAAAGTAACTTCACTTGGCTTCAATACTGATGCTGTGGTAAACTACCAGATGCACTTGGAGGTGAGTAAAGACTAGTTTAGTCTGTCAGGAAATAGCAAACATAGCTACTTAATGCTTCATGCTGCTAACATAATGACCCTACCAGAGTCAGCTAGCTGGGAGCTGTGCTAGACATACCTTGGCCTTCATGTATTCAAAACAAGTCCTACCATCACTGTTGAAGTTCAAGACGCTTCTCTGTTACACTAACAGGTAAATAAAGAAGCAGTTCATAGGCAATACAAAGTGCTTTGGACATTCTTCTTAACATGAATGTTGAAATTCCACAGATTAAAAAAAAGACAATTTGCTCTGACATTTCCCTGCTAACTGGAAAAAGATACCATTTTGCATCTTATTGCATCAAAGTGGGAACAACTGCCTAATTTAGCAGGGAGGAGGGGACCACTGTCTCAGATTTATTCTTTCTACATTTTTCCCCACACCTACAACATTTGTGCAATTACATTTTCTAATCCTGTCACAAAGCACTCATTCTCATCAACACATTGACAGTTAATGTGCCCTCCCCACATTGACAGTTCATGTTAACTAAAGGATCTAATATAAAATATATGTAATATGCAATGCATATAAATATATATATATATATACACACACACACCATTTTGTATCATCTAATGGAAAATAATTACCTATAGGGAATGAATGAAACTAATGGTTTTAGGTTACAAAAGTAACCTGAAAATACTGATGGAAGTTCTCTAAATGTTCTAAACATCCAGTATACAGTATTTTTGGATTACAGCTATCTTAAACTATAATACCAATAAGCAGCCTTAAATTCAGACTCAGAACAGGGAACAGCACACACACAAGCCATTAGCACTAGATTTATCTATTTATGAATGCCACATTTCTGATTACATGGAAAATAAAGACAGGGTGATTGGCAGTAACCAACCAAGAGTAAGTCACGCCTGGCAAAACTGGTGGCCTTTTATGATGGAGTTACAGCATCAGTAGATAAAGGAGGAACAACTGACATCAACCTGGAATTGTACAAAGCATTTGACACTGTCCTGCATCACATCCTGGCCGTCAAATTGGAAAACATTTGATTTGATAGATGGATCACTCACTGGATAAGGAGCTGGCTGGATGGTCACACTCACAGTTGCAGTCAACGGCTCAGTGGAGACTGGTGATGACTGGTGTTCCTCAGTGGGAACAGTGCTGGGACCAGAACCATTTAACATTTTTGTAGGCAATATGGACAGTGGGAATGAGAGTACCCTCAGCAAGTTCATTGACAATACCAAGCTGAGTGTGCAGTTGACACGCTAGAGTGAAGGGATGTTATCCAGAGCAACCTGGACAGGCTTGAGAGGCTGGCCCATGCCAACCTCATGAAGTTCAATAAGGCCAAATGCAAGGTCCTGCATCTGGGTCAGAGTAACCTCAAGCATGGATACAGGTTGGGCAGAGAATATCTTGAGAGCAGCCATGAGGAGAAGGATTTTGGGGTACTGGTTGATGAAATATTCAACATGAGCAAGCAACACGCACTTGTAGCCCAGAAGGCCAACCATATCCTGTGTTGCATCAAGAGTGTAACCAGCAGTCAAGGGAGGCGATTCTGCCCCTCCACTCCACTCTTGTGAGACCCCACCTGGAGTACTGCAATCAGTTCTGGAGCCCCCAGCACAAGGACATAGAGTTGTTGGAGCAGGTCCAGAGGAAGACCACATAGATGATCAAAGGACTAGAGCACCTCTCCTATGAGGACAGACTGAGAGAGCTGGGGCTCTTCAGACTGGAGAAGAGAAGGCATCAAGGAGACCTTATGCCTGCCTTCCAGTACTTGAAGAGAACCTCCAGGAAATCTGGGGAGTGACCGGGAGGGCAGGCAGCAACAGGACAAGGAAAAATGGTTTCAAACAGGAAGAGGGTAGATTCAGACTAGACATTTGGAAGAAATTATTTACTGTGAGCATGGTGAGACACTGGAACAGGTTGCCCAGCAAGGTTAAGAACGCCCACTCCCTGGAAACATTCAAGGCCAGGCTGGATGGGACTTCAAGCAACCTGGTCTAGAGGGAGGTGTCCCTTCCTGTAGCATGGGGGATGGAACTAGATGATCTTAAAGGTCCCTTTCAACCCAAACCATTCTATGATTAGGTTAAAAACCTCACACAAATAACTAAATACAATAGGATTTGAAGTTTCCTCCCAAAATGTACCTCTAAAATTAGTCTCAATGGAAATAGATAAGGGTCCCCAGAAGTAATGCCTCCTATTTCTTTCCACAGAAACTACAAGAGAACATTCAAATCAGCATACAAATCAGACTGCTTCATAATGCCATAATTCTCTTTCCACAAGAAAATAAAATTAAAAATACAAAAGGCAAACAAGGTGTAAACACTGTTCAACTCCTAGATGCTGAAATAAAATGATTTGGCCTTGGAGAAAAGAGGTGATAATGTTTCATCAAGTAGTAGATTAAAAAATACTATTTTTCCCAAGCTTTTTCTGCTTAGAGAAATTAAGAAAAATACTGCTGTTAATATACACACAGTTAAGAAAGACAGCAAAAATATGATTGCAGATATTAAAAATACAGTAATGATGATGAAAGACTTGTTTCACGTAGGTCTCGTAAACCAAATGACGTTAGATGATTAAATTGTCCTGAGCTAGATTCGTATTAGTGACCACTAATTAAGAAGTGCTATATTCCATGAATAAAACTCCAAAGCAACTGCTTTCATTCTCACTACTTTCATTATCACTGTGCTTTCCATTCTGCAAAATCTCTCTATTTTCACTTCTATGATTATTAACAGCTCTAACAGGAATGAACAAGGCTATTCATCATTCACAAACATTCTATTTGGCAAAGACATTTATGTTGTTTCCTTTTTCTTGGCCAAAATGCATCAACATGAGTATACCCATGTGTGCAACCATCCAGATGCACCTGAATGATACATATTACATATAGGAAATCTCTACAAAATTGTTTACCAGAATTGTGGTGTACTGCAGAACATTCCCTCTCCCTCTCCCCAAGTAGATTTCGGATTCCACTGTCTCTATTTGAATGCTTGTAAAACCATTACCAAAACAATCTCCCCTCAGGCATTATCTGCTCTCCGGACACAGCTAGGTGACTCAAAGCTAATGCCGCAGCACCATCTAGTGAGTGACAACTGCTTTTAACTAGTCTTAGGGAAAAAACGACAATTCATCCTTAGCAAACAGGCATGCTATGTCGTAGCTCCAGTGACTGGCAAAGAATATATGCTAGAGATAAAAATAATGGAAAGTGCCTTCAAGTTGCATTTGTGGTGGCCCATTCCCACAGCTTTTAGAAGTCTCATGTTATCTGTAATTGGGTATTTTATGTTAAGAAAAA